CCCGGAGACAGTGCCCTCCGTTAAGGCATGCATCGATCGGCATCTCGGTTGAAATACCACATGTGGATTTCTCAAGGACAAATGAAAGCGACTTTAGCTAATGCTGAAGGGGTGGCGAAATACAAGTGAAGTACACTGGCATAAGCGTTGACCAAGCCTATTCATTTCAGAAGGAGAATATGCGATTGCTGAAACAATAAGTTTATTACCTGAAGTTTCAAATTCTCACTCAAATTCCTTGTCGGTGACGGACCTACTTTCTTTAAGGATGTGTTCGTACGAGGATACGAAACGTCAGACCAACAAAATTCTTGTTCCGTTGCTTATATCTTCTCCCTCTGGACATGCTCATTTGTTAAGCACAAGTACATAGTTGATTGTCTTCGTGCATGACTCATAATTCTGCCTAAGAGATGGGGAGTCAGTCTCAAAAATCTACGCAACCCAGCCATCCCGTCCTCCAAGGATTTTGTTCCTTTCCACTTGAATTAGTTCAGATGTCCACTTTTCAGTGCATTCATGTGAGTTATGAGCGCGGTGTCTCGTAGTAGGCTCGACGAATGGAAAAAGGTGCAAGTCACGAAAGTATGACGCGTCAATACAGTTTTCTTTCCTAGACCAATATCGAAGCAGCAAGATTTCACCGAAGTCTGTGCGGATGAAGCCTGCGATAAAGTCAGGCGAAGGCTAATAAATTGCCATTTGATGTAGCTAGCAGATGCTTGGAGCATGCGACTGGGTTCGTAAATTTAAGGGACGCCACAATAGACTCCTCATTCAGGTATTTAAAATTGCCTACACATCCCTCGGAGCTAGAGGGATGAGAAACGAGGAGCATCCTTGACAAAAAGCGAATGTCAAAGACAACAAGATTTATTGGATCCATGACATTTCGAGAGAGAGCTCTTCAGTTGCTGCCTCTTATTGCATAACGTAAATCACGTAAGAGAAAATACAAATTGAGTTCATAAAGAAAAATCGATATAAACAACAAGGTCATAAGAAATGGCCAAGAGGTTAATCAATAATGCAAGAAAGTTAAAACGCTATGGGCAGCAAAAAACAGGAAAAGACGTCTAAGGCAGCAAGTGAAAAGCTCTCTCGAAATGTCATGGATCCAATAGATCTTGCTGTTTTTGCCCCTTTTAAAGTTGTACCTGGGAAACGTTGCTTTAAAAAGTGAGTAGCCAACTCTAGAAACAGTGGAAATACATATCC